GTCCAGCTTATTATTAAAGTACACAATCAACATCAACATGTATCAACAATACAGCTACCATGAGACTCAAACTATCATCCTTAGAGGAAATATAGAGTATTTTATATTTAGTACTTTTATTGTACTAACCTTTAGTTTATCTGAGATGAATAACTTCATTGAATTTATTATGCAAGTTTAAAGATCCCCTCCAGGCATGTATTATGACATGCCTGGTTGGAACAATAATGTGTGTGTTGTTTTTTTGAGTATCATTTCCACATTAAAATCCTTAAAAAGGAAACTACTTCTTCTACCTAATTATAAATCCCAGAATCTATGAACATGGAAATTCTGTTCATTTCTGAAGTTTTCCTACTGGACATAAGATGTCTCCTACTTCACTGTAAAGTCCATTCTCTGTGTATGTGCACTGGTGGCTATAAGTTTCTACATCAGATGGGTATAAATTACATACTGGACCAGGATTGACTTCCATATTATTTGTGATGTCACAAATGATGTTCGTAAGCCCCGCCCCTTAAAAATCTGATTTTCAATGAGCGCAGAGAAACTTTCCACTTTCTGACAGTATATATCTATATATCTTCAGCACATACTGTATTGTATTTTTATAAAGCTCAAAGTCCACTATACGTTACAACTAACTAGTGTTACTGTCGTTGTTGTTAAATAACACGTGTGCACTGATGTCAGTTGCATCAGGGTGACTGATCATAATCGTAACTTACCCTTTGAATCTCGGGTCTGAAACCCTGTGAGCGTGTGTGATCCTGGGTTAATAATTGCAAAATGAAGCTTTTAAAATCTCAACTCAGGTGTTGGCAGGTGTCACTTGGATTGAACACTGTACTACACTTCTACTGGGTACTAGTCATCTTCCCTGAACCTGCAAAGGACGTAGAAAGTGAAAGAGGTATGACTGAACACAGATCACTTACATGACTTTAATTATGGATTAATGTGTGAATGAGCTTCTTGGTTAATTGAACAATGGTTTGGCCTCTAAAATGTAAGAAAATTATGAAAAATGCTGGACACAATTTTCCAAAGCCCAAGATGATGATGATTTTGTCCAACTATTGGTCCAAAACCCAAAGATCTTTAATTTACTGTCTAAAAGGACAAAATAAAGCAGCAAATCCTCACATTTTAGAGCCAGGAAGCAACAATTGTTTGGTTAATCAAGATACTAAAATAATCCTTTGTCATTCAACTAATTTATTAACTGACTAATTGTTTCACTTCTCGTGCGGTTGAAGAGCCTCATTTTTGTGCACTCAGCTGTGGACAAGAACGCAAAGGCATTACTAAGGGCATAGAGAAATAATTGTCCTAGCCATGCCATGACTCCAGTGGTTAAAGTGCCAACTTTACCATCGTCCACCACTTTTGTCCAGGCTGAAATATGTCAACTTACTTACTTACCTAACTATTAGATGGATTGCCATAACATCACACAACATTCATGCTCCCCAGAGGATGACTACCTGGTGACTTCACCTCTTGTGCCACCGTGAGGGTAACATTTTTGGTTCAGAGTAAAATATCTGTTACCGTGAACCAAATCAAATTTTGCAGTCACATTAGAATATTTGTAATTCTTAATTTCTGACTTCAACGTCAACAAGTCCTAATTACTACTGCGAATGTTGCACTTTTCTAAAATCTCCACAACAGCCTCAAGTTTGTTGTTCAGTGTAATTATACCCACTTTCAATGAATGTGGTGTTATATTGCTAATGCACAGCATATTTAACTCACACACAACTAAAGGGAACGGTTGCCAGCTGTTAACATGGGAATCTTTCCCTCCTCTACCATTCATCCAATATGATGTGAACACCATTTGCTACAGATATTCAAGGACTCAATAGACCTTTTTCACAGCAGCCATTTTGACATGAAATAGTAGGGTAAGCACATGTGTTACAGGTGATACTAATGAAAGGTCCAGTGTGTAACTTGTAGTAAGATTTATTGTCAAAGGTAGTATATAATATTCATAGGTATGTTTTCATCTGAGTATAATCACCTGAAAATAAGAATCGTTGTGGTTTTGTTAACTTAAAATCAGCAAATGCTGTTTTGTTTTAATATTTTGAGATGATACTGGCCCATGTTGATTTTGTGGTGGTGTAGTGGTGGCTGGAGTAATGGGTACAGTCTTACTTTACGCCCCCAATTTTTTGAAGCGGCCCGTTCAGCAAAGTATAAACACTCTCTTGCATATTTAGTTCATCCAGAAATAATAGTCAGTAGTATTTGCACATCATCATTCGCCACACAAGAGGAGCAGATTTAGCAATCAATACTAATTAATATCAGACTGGTGAGACAGCTACATCAAGATTATGCTATTTGAGTGACATATTCTTATTCCTTCCCCTCATAAAAAGTGGACAATTATATCATGCCTTTGCCATCCTAGGAAAACTATCAGCCTGCAGGACATCTCTGAATGATGCAGAGGGGATTTAGTAGTGGGTATAACCAGTGCCTACTGAAAAATAAGTGGGTACACTTGCCTTTAGTACCCTGCACTACACCACTGTACGCTCATTTGTTGTTGTGAAGCAACAGCTTGCAGCTCTGTGCCCAAGACAAATTTCCTCTCTGGCGGACAATAAACGGTTTAATTCTATTCCTATTAGCATGCGCGTGTGTAAATTGTTCGAGCTCTGACC